AAAAGGTTTTAAAACTTATCATTCATCTTACAAAGTAACTTTCCTCTCCTAAGAAAAGAGAAGTGAAAGTGCTATTTCTAAGAAATATAACACATTATTTATTACTTGATGAAACACAAAAAAAATGTTCATGTGAAAGCAACTTATTGTTATCAAACACAATTAAATTATGTTGATAAAGGAATATTTTTTTATTTAGTTACCATAATATCTTAAAAGAAGTAATGATCATTAATGTATTTTCTATTAAACAGAATTTTTGATTCAGAATTTAAAACTTCAAGAACTTGTAGATAACCTTAGTTATCAGTTAACAAGTACTTGTATATCAATACATCCAACTCCAATGTCAGATAATTCAAAACTGGCTGTCCTTCAGCTACAATCTTATATTGATTTGATACCTGCAAATGAAGGACTCTCTCATTTACATTTAAACATTCATTAATTATAGGTATCTTGAAATTGTTTTTCCTGATACTGGTCCTGTTTGTCTAAGTAAAATGTCAAAATACTAGTGACATAATGATTCATACAAAGTAATTGAATAAATAAAATGTTTTATTACTATTTTTTTTAATGAAGTTCTATTTAAACGATGTAAATACATCTCTTCTCGAATATAGAGAAGGTAAACTGGATTAAATTCGTCATTTTTATAGTGATCAATCTGATAAAATTCTTTCTCGTTTTCGTTTTGTTTATGTATCTCATATGTATTCTAATCATTTCGGTGACTTATGTGGTTTAATCCAACAGCTTTGACATGTTTATAAAAATCTCGAACGTAAATATAGGGGTGAGAAAGTTATTGTTATTTTTTTTTGTTATTATAACAATAACATTTACTTTTTGATTCAAAATCATTAATGAAACAAGTGTAAGCATAGTTTGTGCGTACGTCAAAAAATCACTTTATTCATACAGTATCTTTATTACCATTTGATATAAGAACCAGTCGTAAATACTTTGAGAAATCGTAAAATAACTTTTTTTGTTATTGTTATACAATAATAACAATAATAATAACAATAACAATAACAATAACAAAAAAAATTATTTTAGCATTTCTCAAAATATTTACGACCGGTTCTTATATCAAATGGTAATAAAGATACTGTATGAATAAAGTAATTTTTTTGACGTACGCGCAAACTATGCTTACACTTGTTTCATTAATGTTTTTGAATCAAAAAGTGAATGTTATTGTTATAATAACAAAAAAAAATAACAATAACTTTCTCACCCCTACGTAAATATGAAAAATTAATTTGGCTTTGTTCAAATAAATATTTTGATGCTAGTCAAAAACAATGGGATTATTTTTATCCGATGAATATGGATTTGATAATAGTGTTCATGTAGTTTTTATTCGAACATTAACAAATATTGGCCGAAAATACGTAAGAACAAATATTTCTTTTTGATAAACGATATATTAATGCATAATCATTAGCATTTAGTAGTAATTGTAAACAATCAAATGACTTTATTCAAACAGATTAGAATTTGTCGTTAGATCATATGTTACGCGTTTTAATTTAGGTCAAAATATCACTGTTCTGTTAGCGTCAGTGATGGATCACACTAACGCTAAACGATGATTAAGATGTGCCTTCTAGTCTAATTGGCTTAGGACAACTGCCCGGATAGCAGGAGGTATGGGTTCGATTCCCATGAAGGTCATCTTTTTCATCGTTCTGTCACATAACATCAGTGACACTGCTTGTCCCTTTCGTTCTATACATAAGAGCTCACAATTGGTGGAGAAGTTGGGCAATTTTTGTCTGCATTAGCCCATTTTTGTTTTCTTTTTTTTTTTCTCTTCTTCGTTTGTTTTCGCAACTTTTTCATATCTAAAACTTTTTTTTTCAATTGAAACATAATCCCTATATTCATTGATCATCTTTAAATGAATAATGATGATCGTATTTCTCATTTAAATAATTCATCATCATATAAACCGACAAACATACAAAACATTTCATATTTATTAACATCTATTTCGAAAAATAAACAGGATTCTAATTTATCGAATCCATTAAACAAAAATCGTAGAAAATCAATTATTCCTTCATCACATTTACCGATCAAAGTATCTAAATCATTCCAAATGGATATCGAACAAGATAATTTATCAAATAAAGACTGTTCATCAATTGAAACTGAAAAACAAACTCAATCCAATAGTAATTCATTCGTAACGACAACAATGAACAACAATATTGATAACAAAGATTTATTACCAAAAGATATGGTAGAAAATGACACTAGTCGTGAAGAAAATGAAGCTGAAAATAATTTTGATTCATTTATTCTTGAACATTTTACACGATTTTCCGGTGAACAAGATGTTACAGCTTGGTTGGATGAAACTGAAGACAAATTTAATCGATTACGAATTTCAAGGAACTTACGTTTCCAGGCGATTCCATTATTAGTTGAACGCCAAGCAACCCGACTTTATGTAAGAAATGAACACAATATCCGATCATTTACCGATTTTCAGAAATTTTTGTTACTACATTTCGACAAAGAAGATATCCAATCAACAATTCACAATCAACAGAATACCGTCTTAGGTCAATGTAGTTTAGTTCGTCAAACATCATCATCTGAAGATAAAGGTTCACAAACTATGACGACCTTTAATCATTCTCATTTTTCTGAAAAGCCGCCGAAACATCATTCAACCGCATTGAATGAACCCAGTGCCGCTGCTTTATGTGGCGAGTCACTAGTCTCACAATCAACATTCAATTATAATAACACTAACTCTACTACTAATACTTCTAATCCAGATGATACAACTAGTGTACTTCGTAAAGTTCTACTACAAAATTTAATAAAAAATCCAAAAACTTTCCAAGGTGGCAAAGATGATGCTATGAAATGGTTAGAAGACACTGAACAATTATTTGATGTAGCGCATATTCCTGATATTAATAAATTGGATTTAATATCCTATTCACTTCGAGGTGAAGCACTTCGATGGTACACAAATAATAAAAATACATTAATTTCATGGGAAATATTCGTATCTGAACTTAAAAAGGCATTTACTTCATCTTATCATGAAGAATTAGCATTTAAAAAATTGGAAGCTTATACCCAAGGAGAAAATCAATCGATCCGTAATTATTACAACGAAGCTATTAAACTTTGTAAAGAAGCTGATCCCGCTATGAGCGAATCTGCCAAATTACGATATCTTCTCAATAAAACAAAACCAACAATTCAATTTGAAGTTCGTAGAAAGAAACCTACAACTACAAAAGAATTTCTCGAATATGCGAAAGAAATTGAAGATCTTTATCAACTATCTAATATCAATATTAATACAAATATAAATATCAATACTAATACTAATACTACATCACCCACATTACCATTTACATCACCTCCATCTATGATTCACAATTCCTCCAATTCTTTTTCTACGATGTCACGACCCCAAAATTGGAAGCAATTTGATAATACTTATCCTACTAATTATAATAAAAATAATTTTCGTAAATCATATCCATTACTTTCATATAATTCATCATTTCAACCTCGTCAATCAACATTTTCATCAACGAAATCACTTATACCATCGCGATATTCACCCAATATCCCTTCACAACGATTTCGTTTTAATCACCAAAGATCATCAAATGCTTATAATACAAATAATAACAAACAACCAAATACTCAACAACGTCCAAAGACATTTTCTCGTAACAATCCACGACAAAATAATGTTAGTAGTTTACTCCCGTTAGATGATTTAATACAACCTACTTCAAGACAATCATCTACACCTACTGATTCTTGTACTCAATGTAATCAATTTGGGCATCCGGCTATTGCCTGTCCAAATTTCTAGCACCGGAGACATCGAATGATGGCGTTGCCTCCGGATATCAAAAACACAATCCATCAAAACCTTCATTAATTATTCTCACAACATTAGTCAATAATCAAAAATTACAACTCTTAGTGGACACCGGAGCAACCACAACCTTCATTAACCACAAATCATTACAGAAACTCCAATATTATAATTTCGTCAAAAAACATACTCATTCATTCGTTTTAGCTGATGGTTTAGCACCTTTTTATGTATTAGGTACTGTTGAATTATCCATATTATTTGCAAATCAAATAACCACAATTCAAGCACATGTCGCTCAAAATTTATGCACCGATATAATTCTAGGAATGGATTACATTACCCGCTATAATCTCACAATTAACACAAAACATCAATTGATTTCTATTGAGATCAATGATCGTCGATACTCTATGAACATCAATCAAAATTATCCACCTCAATTTATTCCAATAACTTTATCCAAATCTGTACATCTTCCTCCTAATAGCAATCGTACAGCTAAAGCTTCTATTCCTATTTCGTCTATTAGCTCCCCATTTATTCCTCATCAACACTTTACACTAAATAGTGCTTTATATATTCCACATAAACTTCTTCAATTTTACAATTATTTTTCTACTATAACATTATCTAATACAACTCCTTATCCACAATATGTTACTAAAGGCATTTGTATTGGATTCTTATGTTCTTATACCGTTCAACAACGAAATATCCACACTTCGATTCCAACGACTAAATCATATGGTGTCGCCAAATCTTTTGGTGAGATACCAGTCTCTCTTGACTTAGTCACGAATAGATCGAATACTCATTATTCGCACAACTCTTCGAAAAATTTTCCAATAAACAACCAGTATTATACTGATGTCATTACAAATCCCATTACTTGTTATACAATTCCTTCGATACATTCAGAGGTCGATAAAGCTATTCGCGAATTAGCTACCAAAATACACCATCAACAATATCATGATGATCTTCTCACACTTTTACTCCGTTTTCACCGAATTTTTAATACAACTACACATAATATTGCTGATACACCAATTCATCACGTTATTCATACCATTCCACATACACCCCCAGCTTGCAAACCATATCCACAACCAGATAAAGAAGAACCAATGTATGCTATTATTCAAGAATTTTTACAAGCAGGATTAATCGCTGAATCTCATTCTCCATATGCAGCACCTGGTATTCTTGTCAAGAAGAAAGATGGTTCTTATCGTTTCGTAGTGGATTATAAAAAATTAAACTTGATCAC